TGCCCTGACTTAGATCAGCCCAGAGGTTTTTATTATCTATAATGTGTTTGTCTTTCTCAGATCTTTCATAAAGACTTCATCAAAATGTTTAATGAGCAATACCCCAACCACAAGTATGAAGATATAGAGGTGAGCAACACGATGTTTACAGAATACACATACTTCAAGAAAAGGTGGTAATACTGTTAACGGCAGTCATGTTTTACGGCAGGAACAATGTACTGGTTTTCTTTCAAATTGCGCTGTAGGTTACACGCTGCAATGCTTTATGCAACTTGTGCTGTTGCAAGACAAGATGCAGAGAAATTTGCTACGCGTAATCGCACCTTTAACCGCAATTCTCTACTTTCACATCCCCATAATGCCTTGCGTCTTTGGGGGTAACCAATAAAAAAACTGTCCCAAATTGAAAGGTTTCTTAATAGAATTTATACTATACCTGATTTTATCTGAACAATACTGATTATCAGTTTATTCCAAGTTATTTTTGCGTGTACAGATAATCAAGAGTTTTGGTCTTACAGAAAATGTATTGACTTACGAAAAAAAAATGTTTAAAATTTACCTTAAACGTCTTCAAGCTTCTATCTTTTTCTGTTTTTTACTTCTTCATTTTATGTTTGGATACCAAACAAGGTATTTTCAACATTGTCTGATCAGCCTTCAGCAAAATAAGTGGGTTTTTACCCTCTGGTTACCCCCCAAAGACGCAAAGGATTATGGGGATGTGAAAGTAGAGAATACTGCGTTTTCATGTTGAAATTTTATTGGTCAAGAAACCACCCCACGTGATTGGCTGCGTGCGTTTCCCCCTCAAACCATCTAATTGGATTGTTTCTATTTTTGGCTTGAGATAACACAGACATAATAGATGATATAAGTTATTTATTTTTATTAATATTTGCGTTTATTAATTCAACTGAAAATTACAATTAGTGATTTATTTTGACCTTACAGAAACACCTATTCGAGATTTTTAAAGAGGTCGTTTACGCTGCCGTCAAAGAAAAACCTCCCAAGGGCCTGGGCCACTTCTCTAAGGTATTTGATAAGCTTGTGTTAGGGACGGACAATTAGATAAAACTTACAAAAACAAAACAAAACGAAACAAAACAAAACAAAACAAAAAACAAAACAAAACAAAACAAAACAAAAACAGCAAAAAAAATCGTGCAACATAAATTTTTGTAATCCCCCATCAGTTATCTAATATGGTCCATCTCTTATTTTGGAGTATGTATTCCTGTCCCCACCCCTCCTAGGGCCTGCATTTGCCCCATTGAAACTTTTTTGTTTGGAATCGTGTGCTGTTTTGATTGGGCAGTTCTCGTAGGACTGTTAGAAACGCACGGTACGAATATGGCGTGACCGCGATGGTGACATGCTTAGCATTTCCTTCTCGTGATCTTGCGTGTTGTGATTGGTTAATTCCGTGCGCCTTACTTTTGGAAGTCACGCGAGAACCGCACTGCAAAACAAACTGGAATCTCTCGTCAAAAAATGACTTGAAAAATAACCAAGTCTCGTTTCACTTTTGCGAATTATTATCATCTTGAAAATTAAGAGTGCAATTTCACTAGAAAAGAGCGTCTTATCCTTACAACTAGTATTTGGATTTTGTTGCGTGACAAAATGTCAATCAATGTCACGTCACTAAATGATTTGATCTCTACTAAATAGCGCAGCGCAACCGTGACGTCATAAAAACGAAGACAAAGGCAAAATACGGACAAACAAACTTACAAGTTTACTTTCAGCAGATACTTTTCACAGCCGATCGCAGTTGATCTTAGTTTACATGGGTCATTATTGTAACTTTAAGTAAAAATAATAAAATCGGTTCGTGTAATCCTCGTAGCGGTTAAACAGAATGCAATGTTTGTCTGAATCTTTAAGCTATTTTTAGAATCAGTGCGCTGCGCTATTAGAAATGACACTAAGAATACACCTATGATAATAAACATTAAAAGTGCGTGCACCGTTGAATATTGTAAGGCCCTGGCTAAACGAGGAAACATATTTTCTTAAATGTTTCCAAAGGTGGCAAAACTGTCAGGGAACATCGGGAAACATGTTTGCTCAATATCGGTTAGCGCATGCGCACTTTCAAGATAGAGCTAGCGTTGCTAAGTAACGAACTTTTAGAATGTTGACTTTCGTGGCTAAACGAGGAAACATTGGGAAACATTGTTTCCATGCGTCTTGGAAGCATGAAATGTTTCTGCAGCACAGCAGAAACATTTTTGCTTCTTGGAAGCAAAATTTGTYYYAYGTAGCAATGTTTCGCATGTGGCTAAACTTGGAAACATCGGGGAACATGCGCGCGGTAAAACATGCTTCCTCGTTTAGAAACAGGGCCTAATTAAAGAGAAGAAAAGCCTAAAAGCACGGGTATCGTGTGCTGGTAATGCGTCGCCTCTCCCACGCGACCCGGCTTCAATTCCCGGACTCGCTGAGTTTCTCCGCTTATACTCCCTTAGTAAAAATCAATTTCTTAATTCAATTTTATAATCTTGCGTCGAAAAATATCAGAAAAGCCGATATTTTCCCCCGAAAGTTTTGCTGATCCACTCTACTCTAAAACTTTTTTTTTCAATCTATTTTTGAAGTTCTCGGAAACCAGGGTAATCTCCTAGGGGAGAATTGTTATGGGACTGGACCGCTCTCGAAACGAGCTACGGGATCTTTATTCTACTTTCTCTTCTTCTGTTCTTCTTCTTCTTCTTCTGACATAAACTAATTACATGAGCTCTATTTATAATAACTTCATGACAGGTGTCATTCTACAATCAATATGATATTATC